CTCTCTTCTTCTCTCTTTTCGAAATCAATAGAGAGGGGACCTCAATAGAGATAGAGAAAATATCTCTATTAGTTACAGAGTCCCAGCCCTGGCGGTGCCGAGTCGCAAACAGAGTGCGTTCAAAAAGTTGTTAATTTTATCATCATCTCATCATTCTAAAAATGCAATTGATATCTATGTAATTTCTTTTAATTGTTATTTGTAGAAACAAGTACGTTAAATTATTGATAATCTTCATGCGGTATCAAATTACGTTTCAAAGTCCCTCGTATTCCTACATCGAGCCGGTGATTTACGACCTTTCGCAGGCGACGGCGGCACGCCTTTGATATCTATATTTCCATTGTTCAATGACGAGTGAAGCAACTTATATCTATTCTGTAAACTTTGCTTATGTCTAGTGTGCATATCCCCTAAGTTTTTGAGCGAGGCTTCATTAAATATCCATTGGAGCTTAAAAAAACATTGGTCACATGATTCAGATCATGGTCGTTTGGTCGCCATATTTAAAAATGGTCGCCATTTTGCTAGATATTTTGTTTGAGTATAGCTCTCTTCCAACACTGCAGGCTGCAGGAAACCGTAAAGTGTACCGACACGATTCTGCGCAGAACCTAAAATTTGTGCGTAGAATCCGAAATTCGTATACTGCTGTTCGAAACCGTTCATGGGACGGTTTTTCGATGTCTTGGAACAGACCCTATATCTCCGTGCTCCGATTTTCAATTTTCAAACCACATTTTATTCCTTTTCTAAAGGCAAGAAAATCTTGTAGTTAAACATTTTTTGGTAAATCCCATAGTTATTGAGATACATCAAGTTTATTAATATATTGACTTCGCGAAGTAATTAAGACAATGCTCATTAATTGTAGTTGCAATCATACTTTGTAGATTCTGTCACTACATCTGTTCCCATTTATCTTGGTGGTGTAGTTGAAGATGGTCAGCCTAGAAGATACGTTGGAATCTGATCATGAAGAAGAATATAACAATCTCAACCCATATTTCTCACATGACACCGACTTCAAAAGTAACCAACGTGGTTATTTGTTCTACCGATACCTACTGATGGTTTTGTTACTATTCACTCTATCACTACCAGCATAAGTGGAAAAGGGTAGGACTTGATGAGCTTCACGTTGCCTTTGGAGTAGGAAAAACATCGCGCTACATTCCACTTCACTTCTTTGATGACAGAGTACCACTCACTGTTTCAAAAGCTTTACGTGCTACTCATTCTTTAACGGGCTGCGACACTACCAGCAAAGTCAGTACAAAGTTATTGGCAGCTTTGAAAGAAGCAGAATCGTGTCGAAGACCCCTTCTTAGCATTTGGCACGGAGCACTGAATGGAGACATGGAGAAAAAGGCAGTAAAATTTTTGGTTTGGGGCACAAACTTATAAGTACAATAGATCAATTGCGTTTCCATCAGTTCTATCATAAAAAACTACGAAACTATCAAGATTTGGCCCCTACTTCAAGATCAATCCGTCTTCACAACTTAGAAAATACGTTTTCACATTTGGATAATTATACTTTTTTCTTTTTAAATCAAATTTTTACTTGCGTTTGAAAATAGGCTATAATGATTCTGTTTTCAAAATTATGCTATATTTCAGAAACTACGTCCTTTTACAAAAAAGTGTAATGAGAAAATCCGTTTGCCTTCTAAAAAAGAGCAAAACGTTCTATGAAAAAATGAAATTGGAGCACTGTGTACAGAGATAGAGTCAAACAAAAAATATAGGAATATGGCGGCCATTTTTAATAATGACTATCAAACGACCATGATCTGAACCATGTGCGATCAATGATTTTTTAAGCTCTTATAGGTGTTTAATAAAGCCCCGCTCAAAAATTTGGGGGACATATAACTGCACACGTGCCATGAGGCAGCGCCCGCAGTAACATCCGTTATCGATACAAGTCATTCATTCCAGTAAGAAGTCGGCGCCGATCTGCACTAGCAACAAGCACCGATCCGCTTTGTCTGTATGCGGGTGCATTTAAACGTGGGTTTAATTATTGGTGCTTAAAAGCAAGCGTTTAATACCAGCAAGCAGGCAACCTGCTTTCTTTGTGTGCGTACCAGTGGCGTAGCCAGTAGGGAGGCGACGGCTACACGTATGGCGCCCCTACCGCTCTTAAAAAACAAAAACAAGAAATTATAAAATTATGCTGTTTCTTATTTATTCTATTGACCTCTTCATCCTTTATTCTTTATCGTAAGTTGGCATTGTCGGCAAATGGTTCAGTTCAATCAAAGGAAACATGATAGTTTCTGTTTTGATGATTGATGTGGTTAAAATAAAAGTACTACCGTATACCGCCGATTTTTTCTCCACTTCACTAATAATTTCTGAAAAACAAAATTGAAAAACAATTATTATGAATTTCAATTTATTTATTTATTTATCAAACTAGGAGAGATGACAGCTCCTAGCTGTCATCTCTCCGGATTTCCAGGAATTTGTTCTAATTTTCAAGGTGTCCGGAAACGTCCGGGAGAATTTTTTTAAGTTAACGTTATGTCCACACATTACTTCTTTCTTTTAATACATAAATGTTTTTTGGAGTGGCACCCCAAAAAAAAATTGTTTTTGAAGGCTTAAAATAAAATTTTTTGGGCGTGGCACCTGGGGGTTTTTCGTCTTCAATATTTTCCCCCAATAAGCAAATAGTACAAAAGCATACAAACATTCATTTGTTACCCCCCCTCCTCCAAAAGAATTATGCGCCCCCTCATAATATGTTGGCCCCTCCCGCCCTGCAAGGCTGGCTACGCCACTGGTGCGTACTCTTATGGTAAGGGGTGCAAGGCCGAAGAACGATTTGTAGAAGTAGGAGAGAAATGAGGCGCAACCGCGACAGAACTGAGCCACCAAAGAGCAATTGGCGAAATTATTAACAACCCGAGGTAGCTAATTGGTCAATTATTTCTTTATTTCATTTATAATTAGTTACATTTTTTTCAGCGTGAACATTGTGACTCGTTCCTAGAGATTCCAGAAGAAACTCTATATAGCCGAGAGACCTCGGATGAGACCCATTTTTTTTTGTGAATGTTATAGAAAATTCTGGTATTATTTTTTGTTATATAAGTTCACATTTTGGTACACAAATACGTAGCGTTGGTAGCAGTGGCGTAGCTATCGATGAGCGGGGGTGCGCGAAGCGCTGGGGCCCCGGAACTTAGGGGGCCCCGCAGGGCCCCTTTCTTAAAATCAAAAAAATCTGCAAAAATTCCTCAATAAAGCTTAGTTCATATACTTGCGAATCGCGAATTGTTGAAAGCGAATAATGATCCTATTGGTTGATTTGGCTTCCTACCGCCTAATATTTAAAATCGACCAATAGGATCATTATTCGCTTCCCGCAATGCGCGATTCGCAAGTATATGAAATAAGCTTATTGCTTTTCCGTTTTGCATTCTATGCCATTTTCTCGGCTCCACGTAGGGCCGAAAGCGCCCTACACCCAATGGCGCATGGTCGCATGTACAAACGGTCGAACAAGTTCAATTTTGTTTCTGACATCGACGCAACGTATTTGATTAAGTTATTTTATTATTTAAGTCATGTACACGTCAAACTTCCAGGGTCCTTATTCTTGAAACAGGGGAGCAGCGTTCCCCAGGAGAACGAGTGTTCCGTCTTTTGTTACTTATACTATCAGTTGCATATCATTGAGAAATAAGGAACACTCGTTCTCCTGAGAACGCTGCTCCAATAAGGCCCCTTGAGCGGCTTCATAAAACCAAGTCGGACAATTTTTTTTATATATTCAACCTGAGCGTTGGAACATTTTCACGCTGGCTCTTCGTACAGTTGTCGTTCTGACGTCTTTAAGGAAGGTGATACATGTACAGTCTGTTGTTTTCAATCTGATACTCCAAAGGAATGTGAGGTGGCTCCCTACGTTAGAACGCCAATGATCACCTGACGTCACACCTGTTTTTGCCTGATGCTTCACCCCCTCGCTCCTCAGCCCTCATACGGAAAGTATTAGATTAAAAACGACGGACAATAAGTGAAGTTTTAATTCCAATCGACTGTTTTCTATATTACATTAACGACATCACATTAAATTTGTTGGACAAAAATCACTTGACTTTGGGGAAGGTCCGAAGCCCCCAACAAATTAATTTTTTTTTTTTTTTGGGGGCTATCAAAAAGTTTGCGCTCGGGCCCATGAGGACCTTGCTACGCCACTGGTTGGTAGGGTTTATGGAAAGCTCTTGTTCCAAATTTAAGCTTCTTCCCTTTCACCGAATGAGAGTTAGATCCAGTCGTCCAAACATCGAAAATGATTCTCTGGGATTTTTTGGTCCGACGCTTCATAGCTCCGGAAAAAATCGACGATTTTCGCGATTCGTGACAGAAAATGAAAATACTTTGGTGGGTAGTGCATCGTCATCTAGTTCCGTTTTTTTTTTTTTGTGTAATGGAAAATACTAATTTCCGCAATGAATCCAGCAAATGCTTCCACAAGCAATATTCTTTCTGCTGAAATATTTCTACCATCACGCTTTTTATTGGTAGCCCTAGTCCTGATGAGCCATATTATTGTTGTGCCATTTTCTATGGATAATTAACAATAACAAAACAAATTATCTTGTCACAACACTAGAAACAATAAATTTTGAGTGAATCTTGAGGACATGACCTACATGTTCCCCTCTTTTTTTTATTTCTTGCGCTGTTACCAAACTGTGCATTCACTTGAACGCCGTTTCGTTAAACTGCAGCTGATAAACGCATTACACATATCGGTGAATACCGCATATCAAAACTACGTTTTAATTTACGTCGTTTACGATAAACGACGTTCAGGAAAACGGCAGCGTTTTTGGTGAATTTGGGCCTCTGCGTTTTAACTATAAGTTGAAACTTTCATGCCCAATTTGATGATCTACATTTCAACCATTAACTTTGTTTCCTGGAAAATTATTAACTTTGGGAGATAATTGAGAAAGTAAACACAAATACAAAAAATTTGGAAATTTCCGTAATTTAATTGTTACATATAAATTTATAAAAAATAATACTGATAACAGAGACTAATATCACATAAGTACATAGACGATTTTGAGTTTTTTCAAATGCATAGAAATATTTTTTAAAGCTTTTCGTCAAATCAAAAATCAGGATTAATTTAATTTCAAGCACAACCGAATCTTGAATTCACTTGACAACTAACAAATTTAATAACATAATCCACAAACTAAAAAAATACAAGTTGTACCATTTTTGATAAATACCTACTTCATCTGTGGATTGATCCATAAGAACACCCAAAAATATAAGATGCAATATTGTAAAAAAAGAAAATACTATTAAAGCTAATTTACAAATAATACTGTCCCTTTTTATTTTATGCTGACAAGATTTACAAGTATGAATTTTAACACATATATTAAACGCTTGTGATATATGTTCCCTAACTAAAATTTGTAGATATGAAAATACGCCTAGACTTATCAATACTGTAGACACTTTTATTTCAAAACCATGGAAAAGGGATGATATCACAAAAGTAAGAAGAACTGCTTGGAATTTACCAGTTGGCAACCATTTTCTGTAGATATCTAAAAAAAATACAGTGGTAGTTAATAAGGGGCGAGAGTATACGAGGACATTTAATCTTATTTCAGAAATAAAATCTTTAACTTTAGTGATTCAGCAGAATCGAAAATCAATACATGGAATATTAAAGGTTCATGAAAGGCTAGTTAGATGCCCTAAGAAAAAATTTTAGGCTCCGCGAATTTTTGCGAAAATAGGTGTTGTGCTAGCTTCAACTTAAGCCAGCAGAACATGATTAAAAAAGTGGCTAAATCAACGAAAAATGCAATTCCACTTGCACTGACATTGAAAGCTCCGGAAATACACCAATCGCGAATTTCAGACTCAATTACTTTTTTTTTTGTGAAAATGCGAAAAGTCGCGACGCGTGGTTGAGGTGAAGATCCGCGTTCAGATAGTGTAATTGTTGTTATTTTATTGAAGGGTAATTAAATGCTGTAATATTGAATTTTCGACAACATATGGATATTTGATAGGTCATATAGCTAATTACCTACTTGGCATATATCCTGTACCATGCGAATTATTTCTGATTTTGGGGCACTTGTGTTTGAATTTTGAAGGTGGCGAATGGTGATAGCATATTTGTATTTGCCTTTTGGCTTTTGGTACTATTACATGTTTGCATTTTAAGTAGCAATATAATAGGCAATAAAGTTTTGATAAAATGCTTAGTCAGTGTCTAGACAATTTCTGTCATGACTGCCATTTATTGAAAATTGAATATGGTCGTATCTAGAATGATAGGGCATATCACTACAATTAATTAATCTTATACGCAGTGGCAAGTGAACCCTGAAAGTCCAGTGTCAAGGCTGGTCACCAAAAATTAGTACAAACATCGCTCGCGAGTTGGGACAGGAGAAATATGAAAGGTGTTCTTGAGAACAGTATGAGATGGTCTGTAGGTCAACAAATTGTATGTCAGTATTGGTGTATACAGTGTTGGCAATAATCGATAGCGCACTTGTCCGCTATGAATTATAACTGTTAAGCATTTGAAGAATAAATTATTTTCACATTTGTACCGGGTGTCCCACTAAGGTCGACCAGGTATTCTATTATGGAAACCATAGATCTTACGTAACTTGAAAACGAATGCAGATATTGAATTGCGGTTTGCGCCAAAATGTAGATATTTTTTTGCTCTTTAAGCACAGCAATAAAAAAATAATACCATGCCATTTCGATTTTTCAATAAAATTAGAAAAAACTGGATCTTGGTTGAACAGCGCCCTCTAGAAGACGCGGTGGGATCTATTGACCCCGAACGAGTGGTGTTCTTAATAACAATGAAATTCTCTTTCAAATAAGCCCAAATTGAATGAGTTTGGATAAGGGGTATGGAAGATACAGCAATTTTTAAAACTATTTTTTCACCTGCTTCTCCCACCCTTATTAGTGAAGATACGAAAAATGCCTAATAACCAAACTGGCGCGAAAATTAATAAACTTTTGATTTCTGTTGTTGAACCAGTATCTTAATATAGCGATTTCTTGAGAAAATTCGAATTTTTAGTTCTATCATCGTGATTGCGCCCCCTAGCGATCATCTTAGAAACTTGAAAATAATTTCCATCAATTTCTCTTGGCCGATTTAGTGAAGAAAAAAAAATCCCGCAGCCGTAAGGTCTATGGTTTCCATAATATCGTACCTGGCCGACCTTAGTGAGACACCTGGTACTTAGTAGTTCTGGTTTTAAGTTCTCATCCCCACATACCTCTAGTTCCAACAATATATTATATTAACTTACATTTTTTTAAAAATTCGTGCATTGGTTTATTCCAGTTAACAACCACGGCAGCTAAGGAAGTTGGAAATTCAATTTTCATAAAATTAGTCACTGAAAATGTCCAGTAGTCTTGTTCAAAATGATGGCTTACATCTTTCCAACCAGCTGCGAGCATGAAGGCTTCAGAGACATAACATATGAAGTAATGACCAGTTCTGACTGATATGGCTTCTTTATATCCAGTCAATAAACTGAAAAGAATACCTATTAAGTATTATTTATAATTCCAAGCTAATATCATGCAGATTAAATGCTACTTCATTGTTTAGAGGACTCATTAATCAACCAAAGAAGTTGTCCAGTTATACCAAGAACAACACCGAGAGGAAATTTGTCATACATCAAAATAAAATTGATGATAAACTGGATAGGAAGCATATTATAACATTTTTAGATAATCTTCCCCCAGGACACTAGTTTAAAAACACCCTATATGTGACTTACCTATTTCTATTATCACCAATAAAGAAGCTTGCCCAACAATTTGATATTGACAAAAAAATTAGTGATTTTGAGAGTGCTTTGCTGACTCCAAAAATCCAGTTGAGATTCTAAAAATAAAGTATTAGATCAAAATACTTATGTCCAATTTATAAGTTAGTTTATATATTTAATAAATAGATATTTTTACATTTTTCAAGTTGTTATGTTGGTACTGACCTTTTGGGTAGGAAAATTAACTTGTAACATGTATTGTTCGAAACTGATCCATGGTCCAAATAATATATTTCCAGAACAAAACACATATCCAAAATATTCCGGAAAACTTGGCAAATTTGGTGCTGGTAAATCTGCGACTAATGAAATGAATTTCATGGAAAAGACCATCATTACTCCTCGGATTTCTAATGAAATTTCTTTATCTAATAAAACATATTCACTAAAAATAAATTACAAACTTTATTGAGACCAGAAACTCATAGTTATAATATGGTCATGTTGATCTATCCGTATGTCTGTCCCAGTTTCTTTATTTACACATATTATCTTGGATAGTAAAATCCTGTATAATAAAATTTGGTAGGGAGTCTACTTAAAAACAGATGCTATAAGAAATTGTTAAATTAAATTTAAAAAAAAAGGGGGAAGTCCACATACCTCGCCACATACATTCCATATGATTCAAAATATTTCTTTCATTATGTATTCTCGACTTTATGGGCCATCTTCGTTATTTTTAGCCTTGGGAGGTTGAGACTTCGTATTTGGGGATTAATCCCCGGGGAACCCCTCTGTAGTGTTACTAGATACTTAGTGAAAAATTTCCTTGAATTACAGAAAACCCAAATTTGGCATTGCCGCGCTCCCTCTGACTTATAACTCTACTCATAATAACATCATAGATAATATTAGTGAATAAAGATAATAGAACGGACAAACAGAGGCCGAATGCTCTGATTAAATGGGTTTGAACGTCTTTCAAAAATATCACCATGTATCTGAGGAACAAAAGAAAAAAATGGCAGCAAACAAAACGCAGACCTAAGCCCTAAAAATGGCACACTTCGTCCCTTTTAAAGGAAAATTTAACCAAGCTCATAACTTATACTGTTTCCGAGATGGCAATAGTCAATAGTGGTATCACCTAAAATGGTGTATTTGAAAACAAATGGTCCAGCCAGGTCCATAATCTAAGGTGTCTATTACTTTAGGGCACCTGAATATAAAAAAAATTCTGTAAAAATTTGTTCATATTCACTTTGAAATTGTGTTTTTCTTTGGAATTAAGTGAGGATATTGAAGATTTGCAACATGAAAATTTAAATTAAGGCGGCTCGCATTTTCGCACTGTTGCCAAATGTATCGTAATTCGTAATAAGTGCTAGCCTTTGTGTGTTGGTATTTTAAACGAAACACACCTAATCGAAACTAACCCGTCCTCTTATTAATCATAAAAAAAAAACACTAAGAAAAAATAAAAACATCTTGTCAAACAGTCGCCATTTGCTTAGACTCAAGAAATAACACCTATCTTCATTTTTTTTTTCAAATATACAGGACATAAAATTGAAAATAATCCTCACTTAACATTAGATATCTTGTCCAGACAAACCAGATTCTATTTACAAATATTTGAATTACATTTTTATTCTAGTTGCCGTAAAGTGATATGTCACTGACGTTAAATAACAAAGTTTTATAACTTAGAGAAAAGAAATAAAAAAGTTATAAAACAGTGTTGTCGAAAAGTAATACATAGGCCATTAAAAGCTTATCAAATGCCTTAATTAAAAATCTTCGGCACTATGCATCTTTACAAAAATTAATGTTCTGCTAGCTTTAAGCTAAGAACTATTATATGAACCTAAGAAATTTACGGAAGGATGCAATTTTAACATTATACCAGCCCAACAATAGACAAAATAGGTACCGTAAAATCGGGTGACTTGAGACGATTTTGACTTTCAGCAAGCGATATTTTCGAAACTATTTAACTTAGCGATGACTCAAACACGTCAAAAGTTGAGTCTTAACCCGTAGAATCGGTTTTATAAGTTGAGTTTTATGTGAATACCGAGTTACCCAGGGTTTTTTTATTTTTTTTTTACTGTCTCATGTCAGACGCTAGGTTGGGTTACTTGAGACAACCATATATTTCAAGCTTTTGCTCATGTTTCAAACCAAAAGGATCACTTGAGACAAAAGAAACGATTTTTAAAAGATGGCTATTGACTCTTAGCACTAGCAGGTTTGATATTGTCACACCAACGAGTGCTTGAAATCTGAAAATGTCTCTTCAAAAAAAGCCGGACCTAATCTTTTCCAGGCAAGTTATTTTTCTTGAATTTTTGATCACCCCGTCCGTCTTTACGACTTTACTAAACGTTTCAAGTCGTTTCCCATAATTAGAAAGCCCCTACGGCAAGAAACTCCTAAATTTTCCGCAAAGTCTCTGCTCCTATTCCACTGTAGAGATTATTTGACCACCGGGATTTTTTGTATTAGGATTATTCACTTTTCGTTGAATGGTGCACCTGGAAATGCCATATTTTTTTGATAATATTCGTTAGGATTCACTCGTTCTTCAATCGCTCGTTTCAACATTTCGCTATCATAATCAGCATAGGGCCTATAGCCAAGGAGCGAAGTTTTCTTTTGTATTTTCCCATAATAGGCTGAAAACACAATAAAAACAATTGAAACAGGCACATAATAACACTCTGAATAGTTTTGGGGTGACTTGAGACAAGTCCCAAGTCACCCGCATCAACCGCCTTCTAAAATATCAATTTATTTCTGAGCAAAGTTTCAATAGGCAGTTCTAGATAGTATAGAGACAGTATGCAAAGTTATTCAGCAATTTTTTAGTTCAACAATTACATACATGCGTAAAAAAAAAATTCACAAAAAACAACTTATCGCTTCCGCGGTGGTCCAAACATTACTATAACACGTCTTGACAACCCTTACTTAAGTCGAATAAATACGATTGACACCCAAATGCGTCGGATATATTATTGCCAGGTATATATTTGGTTTCCTCAAAAGTTTTGTCTCAACTCGCCCAGCCGTCTCAAGTCATCCAGTTTGACGGTATCCAACATTTATAACAAATATAAAGTGTGTCAGAGGCAAATGAATGTCAAAAACATAAATCACACGAACCACAGCAACGCCAAAAATAAAAATTTCTATCAAAAAACGTTCTCAAACTGATAAAAACCCCTCTAAAAATTCACAGAAAAGACAGTTATGCCGCAGCGCCATCTTGTACGTCAAACATCAAATCGCCCTATTGATCAAAATTATTGAAAACATGCTGACAGTCATTGATAATACTTGTTTTTATTCGACTCTACACGTGTTCCATTGTTTCCATAGGAATGATAATACACATGTCTCAATACTTTTTTGCATTCATCGAAAACAACCAAATTCGTTCTCCCATTCATCATCATCACACCACCCAAAACAAGCACACTTCCACCTCCAAACGATTTCCTTGCACCAATGTTTCCTTCCAGGGTCCTTATTCTTGAAACAGGGGAGCAACCAGTGTTCCGTCTTTCTTGATAAGAATGGTTAAAGACACGATACAAATACCAATTAAATTCTGTTCTCGATTTTATACGCACCAGAGTTCGCTGTCTAGCTATTATCGGATTTACTCCGGCTGTGACGGCCAGACTCTAGTAAGTTTGGGAGGGTGGTATGGTATGCCACAGCACTTAGGCCACATTAGGCACATTGTGCACCTCCCCAAGAGGAGAGGTTATCCTTAGCTCGTCATCCAGCCTAGCGTTTGCACGTAGGCGATGACGTCGCTGAGGGCGGTGCCACTGATCTCTTCTAGCAATGGGAACGATTGGCCTAATCTGGCTCTGCGTATTGGCGACAGAGCAGCGCAGTCACAGAGAATGTGCTCTATCGCCTCGTCTTCTTGATTACAAGCCTTACACAAGGATGTGGTACTGAGATGCAACCTAAACAAATGTTTGTTTAGCTGACAGTAGCCAGTCAAGATGCCCGATATTAGGCATAGCCTTTTCCTGGTCAACAGGTCAACGACAGCTTCTGGCTCGCTGCAGCTTTATCTGGGTAGCTTAGCAGTTCCTTGGATAAGTTGTAGCCAATTGTATCGTCCCAGCGCTTTTTGAAAAGGGTATGGGAGCGTTTTTTTATCATATCTCTGGCCGCCGACATGGTCAGCCCTACGAAGGGCTCCGGTCCAGAAGGCTGTAGCCTGGCAGCCCTTCTAGCCTAGAGCATCAGCAACCCGATTGCCTTTGCTGTGATGATGTCTTTTGATCCAGCTGCCTACCACCGTGTTGTTGATTGACGCTTCGGTGAGTGTTTGGTGGCAATGTTGTACTAGTTCTGACGTTTCTGACGATTTTGTCAAAGGCCCCCTCAATGTCGATGAAAATCCCGAGGGCGGACTCTCTGTTGTCCAGCGATTTTTTCACTCGCACAGCAACCATGTGGAGGGATGTGTCTGTTGATTTCCCGGGGGTGTATCCATGCTGATTAGGGTGGAGTAGATTGGTTGACAACACTTCATCCCATATGTACCTTTCACATAGCATCTCCATTGTTTTTAGAGAAAATGATGAGAGGCTCATGGGGCGATATGCCTTGGGGGTGGTGTAGTCCATCCTCCCTGGTTTGGGTAGGAACACCAATTTAACTACTCTCCAAGCCTTGGGTATGTTAGGTATGTATCTCAATGCCAGGTCTACACCTTATGATTTGCGTGGATATCCTTATGCCACTAGCTGCTTGAAAGTTGTGGCAGTTTTTGGTGGCATTGAGGGTTCTACTCCGGGTTACATAATGTGCAATCGAATGATCCTGCCTTGGTGTTGTTTTTCTGCATAGTCTGCAACGTTATTGGTAGCGATAACTCGCTGCCATAAGCTCTTTTCCTGGCTAGTACCCTTTTGAAAGTGAAGACGGTTGCGCCAATTATGTTGGCAATGGCTGCAGTCACCAGAAACAGAACGGGTTGTAAACAGTTTACAAATACCAACAGAATTCATTGGATAAACTCTTGGTTCTGCTAAGCAATGCATTGTCTTCCTTTATTTACTCGTTTTTCGTTTTTTTTGACATCACAACCTGACATAAGCTCAACTTTCATATTTTGACCCGTTTGAGCTGTTTTCTTGAATTTCCGTTTAAAAAAAAAAGTGTCCATTCTTCAAAATATAGATTATTTTATTAGGGATTTATAACTCGCGAAGGATAATACAATAGAGAATATGCCAGTATTGCTCGAGTTCGTGCAACCACATCTTCTAGGAGATGAATAACTATATCCACAGGGGAGATGAAAACTATAGAGAAATGCAAATTATTTTGAAGGAACTCATTTTTAAATTTTCCACTTTTCAAAATGACAAAACGTCACCCTTTGGATGTCACCACACAAAACACAAAGTGTTGGAAATTATGAACACCCTTAATTTATGCTTGCAATGGCAAAAATGGCGACCCTTTGCATGTTTGGTTTCACCACAGATTCAACGTTCAGCCGAACAATCGTAAAGCGTTCACCAACGTTTGTATCTGGTGAACGCGCCCATTTCAGCTATGGAACGCCCTTGTTGGCGCAACCTGTTTTAAATTGAAATTAGGTATGCGACTCTTTTTAATGAATTGCATGGGCTCAAACTTAACTCAACATGTATGGATTCATTTTGGCCAAGTATAACCATCTGATAAAACTAAATTTACCTGATGCAAAATAAAATTTGCAGTTTACACAACATGTCATGCTAAATAGGTTTCCATGACAACATCGTTCCATAGTTGTTTCGGAAACTTATTGGTCCAAAGGATTCCATACACCACTGGCGAGATTTTTCATACTGTCGGCGATTTATATATTTTTTTTGAAGTGAATACTTCTTTGGCCGCATGAGAGTGATTTTTCAAGATCGCGTCACGACACGATTTATAAAATTTTCGTCTCGCAAGTGAGATGAAGCATATGATGAATATGAGGGAGAGAGAGAGAAAAAAATCACGTGTACTGTGCTGCACGCAACTTTTTTTTTAAAATTTAACCTCATTTAAAACTGTTTGATTAGATACATAACAATAAAATACTCTCAAGTCTAATGTAGCAACAGTCCAATAAGAATGTGAAAGTTGCACCTAGGTGACTGAACACCTGTATGTGCAATGAGATTTAACGCTAAATTCATAACTTATGCCAAAAAAATAGTAATACTAATATTAGGGTTGCCACCTGTCCTTTTTTGAAAAGGACAGTCCTTTTTTCAAACAAATTGTACTTGTGACTTTTTGAACCTTGAAATGTCCTTTTTAAAAATTATTTCGATAAGTACCACTATTTTTCGGGACGAATCTATTCGCACTCGCAGCAGGACCGGTGCAGCCTGCGAACTTCCAGTAACCCAGGGGTCCGATTTTCGAATATTTTCGTATACGAAATTTGATATGATTTCGAGTGCTCCCCATTTAATTTACATTGCTGTCAGTCAAATTTCGTGTACGAAATGTACTCGAATGGTTTCGAAAATCGCACCCCAGTCCCAGGTCTGGTTTTTCGAACGCACTTGGTACGCAGCTGTCAAAAAAGTTTGTAGGTAACTATAACTGCTTACGAACAGACCACTTTCTGACCTAACTTGAAGAAAAAATCAACAGTGCGAAAAAAAAATATCTTTATATGTTATTAGAAAAAGATGGGAATATACTCAGTGCACACTGATTAATAAATGGAAATCGAAAACTTCTACATAGGTCAGAAAATGGTCAGTTCGTAAGCAGCTTATACTATACTGCGTTTTTTTTTTCAAGATTAACTAAGACATTGACAATATGAAAACTTGAAAACATAAACAACGTCACTATTGGTCAGAAGATGCCGGTGTACACGATACCTCGCCTACCTGGCAGGGACACGGGACACGTGACACGGCATTTTGTGACCAATGAACGCCAAGCGATGTTGGTTATGTTTTGACTGGTTGTCAATGCCTTAGTATAATATATAATTTTGTTTTTTTTTTTTTTTTGGTATCCTGTCTTGGAATGTCCTTTTTCCACTTTTAGAAAAGGTGGCAACCTTAACTAATATTACCTAATCCTCTTCATTGAGTCAATAACAACCCCAGCATATGAACCAAAAAGATCAATTAATACAATAACACCCCAAAATCCACGCAAGAAACATCACAAATAAAAAAAAAAATTAAGGAAAAAAAAAATCAAAAGGAAGTGACCACGCACTACGGCTCAAGCATTTTTTCTCTCGTTTTGAAATAAATAGGTATTTGAATAATCGGACTTGAGAGACGGACGATTTTCGAGTCGTCGAGACGAATCGTGTGTCTATCGCAGGTGTTGATAAGGGTAATAGAGAGCTCTAGCATTTTGTCTGTAACTTCATTCGTTTTGGTAAGTAATTGGGGAGCATCAGTATTTTCGAGATGACCTGTTTGATTTGTTCGGAGTGTGGTAGGGATTGCATTCTCAAAGCCAGGCCGGAGGAGGGCGAATTATTTGGTGCGCCATGCGACCGCTGCTCGAGACTCCTATGCAAAAAATGTTCAGGGCTAAACACCACCGAGGCACACGCAGTTGCACTTTCCCAACGAAAACTTCGGTTTCACTGCGCCCAGTGCATGGATGCGTCGAAAGATGCCCAGAGTGGAGGGGAAGACTCTGATATTGTCACATTGAGATCTCCAGTGACTTCAGTGTGTGAGTTAACTGGAAGCCAAGCATCGGTTCGTCAATGCCAGGACGTTGAGTCTCAGTGCCTTGAACCGATACCACGCCTCGAAACTGAGCTGAACAACGCATTAACTTCCGACTCCTTGTTTACCATTTCAAACATTACTGCTGCAAACTCTAGTAGGGCTACCTTGTTCGAAGAGTGTGGAGTTTCCAGTTTTGGGGAGGAAATTACTAACCTTCAGGAAGTTAAAGAACAAACTTTTGGCAAGTGAAGAAGAACGCGCTAAAATTTTAAGAAAGCTGGATGATCTTAAAGAGATAAATGCAGATATGCTAAATTCCATCAGAACTCTTGAGAGCGATTTAGAAACATACAGACATGAGGTGGGTATTAAAAAAAGTAAAAGTGTTCAGGATGATTTGTTGCGAAATGCAGCTAGTGAACAGAAGTCGACTAATTTTGACAAAACAAAGAGATTGCGTGGTAAGCCTAGAATTCTCATTATTGGAGATAGTACTATTGCTGACATGAATAAAATATTAAAAATGCAAAGATCGCTAAAACCATACCAAATCACCTCTATAGTTAAACACAATGCTCAACTGGAACATATTACTGAAGACATTCTAAATCTCACAAAAGAATTTAGTATAAAAGACTTTGTTATTCTGAATGGAGGCCTAAGAAACGCATTAACCAGTAGCAGAGTAGGGGAAGCTGTGCTAGAACGTTTATGCCAGATGAGTGTATACGCACAAACCTCATAGTACTATCATTGCCCTTGTGGCAAAACAGAGTAGTTTTGAACAAATTCATCGACGACATTAATATTAGACTGCATACATTGCTTGGAGAATTAGGTGATGGTGCAAAGTTTATTAATATTAACTCATTTTTAAATTCTTCTTATTTCTTCTTTCGGCCTGGCGACCTGATACTGAAATATACTGCAAAAACACTAATTGCGGAAAAGATTTCTGGGCTTGTATCGAAACATTTTTTAGTGTAACAGAAAACGACGATAATTTACAAACCAATTTAAGTAATACTTTATCAATTAAAAACGTGTTTTCCCTTTTTTTATTAAATATCCAATCGTCACGTGAGAAGTTGGATGATTTACTTATTCTGTTAAATGATTTGAAGCAGATGCCCAATTTTGTTCTACTCACTGAACACTGGCTGAGGGAAGACGAGATTTGTTTCATTCCTGATTATAGAATTATTTCAAAGTTTTGTAGAGAGGGCGGTTATGGAGGCACAATGATGTTGGCTCATGAGACATTTATAAATACCTTCGAGGTTGAGAGTTTGAATATTTACAATGACCTTATTATAGAAAATAAATTTCAATTTTCAATAATGAAAATTAAAAAGATGAATGTTCATATAATTTGTGTGTACCGTCCTCCTTCAGGCAACCCTCTCCAATTTTTGGAATTATTGGAAGCGTTACTGTCTAGATTTCCAAGCTCCTCAAGGTTAATTCTAGCAGGAGATTTAAATATTGATTTCAACGATAAAGCCTCGAGAGACACAAAATCTTTAATTAACTTATTAACTTGCTTTAACCTCGGAGTCTTCGTAAACGAACCAACACGTATAACTGGCCATTCGGCAAAAACAATCGACTATATCTGTAGTAATATTGAGCAGACTGATTTAATCTGTAACGTTATTCCTTCGGGAATTTCAGATCACGAAGCTCTCACGGCGGAAATAGTACTTTATCACGAAGAGCGAAAAAAAATTCCAAAGAAGACCAGAATATTTAGTACCACAAACTTCAGAACATTTAGAAACTTGGTAAACACCATTGACTGGGATGGCATGCAGGATTCGGCTGATCCGGTGGCACTTTTTCAGAAGCGAATGGTCAGCATTTTCAACGAAAGTTTTCCTTTGCGTAAAATAAAAGTCAAACCTGCAAAACGATGGATTACAAAGGCAATAAAAATTTCTGCTAAAAACCTTCGATCCTTACACACCCTAAGAAAATTTGCTAAATCTGAATGGTTTAACAACTATTTTGTTTTGTATCGCAAAATTTATAAAAAAATTATTGGAGCAGCGAAGAAAATTTATTATCAGCAAAGAATAGATAGAGCAAATAATTCCAATAGAGAATATTGGAAAATAGTAAATGAAATGAGGGGGAAAACATCAAAAACCTCAAAACTAGGTGAGTGTTACTCCGTCAGATCTCAACAGCTTCTACTGCACAGTGGCGGGTAAATTAACAAGCAACTTGAAACCGAACAAGGATCCGCTAAGTTTTTTACCACCCTTCACACCAACGGAACAATTCGGGTTAACCCCCACTAGCATTGCAGAAGTAAAAAACATAATGGGAAGCATAAAAAAACAAAATTCATCAGGAGTAGATGGCTTATCGCTGAGGCTGTTCAAGTGCTTGCCGGAGGATGCCCTTGCGGCGCTCGTTAATTGTATTAATCGTTCTTTTGAAATGGGTCAATTTCCGGATTGTCTGAAGCTGGCTATTGTTGTTCCTATCTTTAAGGGCGGTGATGATCAAGACCCCTCTAACTACCGACCCATATCTATGCTAACTACCCTTTCAAAAATTATAGAAAAAGTTGCTAAAGCAAGATTGGTGGAATTTCTTAGTAACAACAATATCCTTAGTCCTGAACAGTTTGGCTTTCAAGAACAAAGGAGTACACAGGATGCCATTTTCTCCTTTTTGGAGAAACTGTTTTTTGGGTTGAATGATGGCGAAAAAGCAGCGGCGGTGTTTTGTGATTTTTCCAAAGCATTTGATTGTGTAAATCACAAAATACTGCTGCGCAAGATGGACCATTATGGCATTAGGGGAACGGAATTGAAGTGGTTTGAGTCATACCTTGCGGGACGTAGTCAATTCGTCAGAACATCAGATTATGAAGATTCAGAAACTTCAAAGTTGATGCATGGAGTTCCGCAGGGGTCTGTTCTTGGGCCTATTTTATTTTTAATTTATGTGAATGACCTAGCCGGGCTGTCGATACTGGGGAGATTTGTAATTTTTGCAGATGACACAACAATTCTTTGGAAACATAAAGATGACAATGTTTTGGCCAGCATAATAGAGAAGGATTTGTGTAAGGTTGGAGAGTGGTGTGATGCTAACTGTCTTGTGTTTAATGTCAAAAAAACAAACATACTTTCATTCAAGTGCTCCCTTATCGGAATCACACTCTGTGACAATAGTCTGGAAGAAAAGGAGGTAGTGAAATTTCTGGGACTCCACATAGATTCAAAACTCAAATTTGACAGACATATTGATCATCTCAATGAAAAATTAGCCAATGGATGTTACATTATAAAGATCCTCGTCCATGAACTGGGAAAGCTTTCAGCTAAGACAGCCTACCATGCCCTAATTGAATCACATTTGAGATATGGTATAGCGTTCTGGGGATATTCAACACAAAGTGCTATTCAATCGGTTTTTGTTCTTCAAAAAAGAGCATTGAGATCAGTGGCGGCTCGTCGTATAAAGCAACTGAGGCCTGGCCTCACATGTAAAAATTACAATAATGATGTAAAATTTTGAAATAATATTCATTAAATATTTAACGTTTTTCAACTATTTTCAATCATTGAAAGAATCAAAACATCGAATTTTCATTAAAATATAATACTATTTCTTTAATTTAGCGCGCGCTTCTACCTATTTATATGTATAGGCGCTCAAATCGTTGCCGGACAGCATTAAAATAAAATAGCAATCCCAAAAATTTTGGCCTCATGTGCGTCACAGAACGCCGAAGCGATGCCACGGCACTCCCCACCACAACCCTTCAACTGTAGGTGAGCAGCGTTGCCAGAGCTAGTACAATTGTACTAATCTAATACATTTTGGGTCTTTTTATACAAAAATACAATTTGATAATTTCTAGTACATTTTCATGGCATAAAAAATTTCTTACTTACTGATATTGTAAAATCATGACTGGTAAACTTAAAAACAAAAATCGACCAATCGACTGTGATATCAGCCCAATTCTATTCTGGTGTAATTTCACCCGGGATTCGTGAACGATTTACCCTGGCGCTGGAGCGCACACGGGCGATAATTGTGGATGCAGCCTTGGAGTTCGTTCGAAATCGAAATCAACCTGGCGTCACACAGAGTGCACACCACAAATAAAATTCATGGCTGGTGTGCAGTTGTTTATATTTTTGCCTTAAAAAACTATTTAGTTTTCCCTAATTTTTAGAGTCATTTATGTTTCTTTTTATTTTTTTGAAAATACGTTTTTATTTTTTAGTTTGTATTTCTCTCTGTGTTTGATAAAAATAAAGACTCTGAAAGTTTAACATGGCTTTTTATGTTTTAGTACAAAAAGTTGAAATTCAGTACATTTTGCACTGACGTTCTGAAACAATATAAAAAATAGTCCTGGCAACGCTGTAGGTGAGACGATAGCGAATTTTCATAGGCATTGAGGCGCACAATTTTGGGCTTGTTAATAAGAAACCTTGCATCTCTTGCTGCTGCGACAAGTATTTAATTGGTTAATTTGGCTCATACTTTTTATTTTGGTCTGTTGCGGGTTAAAAAACTGTTTTTTGGAATTTATTTTGTTAATTTGAAACTCAATATTTGTATTAAAATAAGAATTATGTACCTACTGCTGTTGTTTTGCAACTGTAAGAAATGAAAATTTTCATTAGAAATATAAAAAAAAAATATCCGAGATGTTCTTTTAATGAAATTTTGGGTCAAAATTTGGGCGTAACACTTGAAAATTTTGTTTGGGTTTGTTTGGGTTAACTTGATGGGCCATGGGCCTCACCAGTTTGGATTGTCACGAGCCGCCACTGATTGAGATATCTTTGTCAAGTTGGATGCAGGGAGAGCTGCAAGCCTCTTTTTATCAAGCATAAAATTCTAACGGTTCCCATGTATCTTTATATTCGAAACTGTATGCTTGATATTTAAAATTTCCAGGGGTTGGAAAGAGATGAAGTACAGTACAACCTGAGGCATAACAACTTGCCCTTACCTATACCTAGATCGGCATTGACAAAAAATTCTATAATGTATGAAAGCGTGAAAATTTATAACAACTTGCCAAATGATATTAAAAATATCAAGGAATATTTCGCTTTTCGTGACAGTACAAAAAAATTTTTGGTTTCCAGAGCATTTTATTGCTTACAGGAATTTTATATTTGATCCATCACATTATTATACGTATTTTATAAGTATTGTCTGCACTAGTTCCTTAAATTGTGATTGTGAATATCTTGTTCCATTTTATATTTTTTTTATCTTTTTTGTTTTTGATGACTTGTTTTATCTACACCACATATTATATTAAGTTTTAAGTTGTTTGTCTTTCTCACTGTTTCTTGAATATTTTTTTTTAACCTTTTTTTGTTCTGTTTTCGACCCGAAAGTTTCAAAATATTTTTCTTTATAGTTTTAAGGGTATGACATTGATTTAAGTTAAGAACTTATATGTATTATGCTAGCTAGTTAAGTTAAGTTGCTTTGTCAATGATTTTGTAAAGGAATTTCGACAATAAAGTTTTTTTTGAATTGAATTGAATTGAATTGAAGGTAAAGAAAAGAAAAAAAGCCAAATGTTCACATCAAAAATAGGAAACTGTGCAGATTATCAAAAATAAATTTTCTACACCCAATATTGAATCTTTGTCTTGACAGAGTCCTAACTTATAGAGGCAACATGTTGTACATTTTGGGAGCGAGGTAAGTATATGATCTCATATTTTTAGATGTGTTGTTCACAGGCATTAACAGGTGCCTATCTAAGTTAATTTCAGTTCTATAAGTGTGATTTACATATAATTTGCACTAAGTTTTGTGAATATAGGAACACGTTGTAAAGCAATATAGAGAACGCACGTCAAGAATTTCCTTAGAGTAAAGGAGGTTCGTGGGGAAACGTCTGTTTTGTTGAAAAATAATATAATTTTGAACCACACTTAGTGGTTTTAGTGAGTTCTGGTACAGACCACCCCATGCCATACCTTATCGGTGACTCAGCTAAGGCCTTGTAGATCAAAATAAGAAGACTCCGGCTCAATATTACTCTAATAATGTGAAATTTATAAATCAGTTTACCAACATTTTTTGTTAAGTTATTGACATGTTGATCCCATTTCAAGTGTTTATCAAACGTTACTTCCAAATACTTAATGCAGGCTACACCACTGATTAATTCATTTAGCTTATCAATATAAATATCCTGAAAGTCGGGCCGATTTGCAGCCGTAATTGAGAATGCAATGTATTTAGTTTTGATAATATTCTAGGTTAACTTGGAAGTGTCCAACCAACCCTTGACCTTATGTAGTCCCTCAACAGCCAATTTCTGAACTGATGACCAAGACTTCCCTGAGAAAACCAACACTGTATCGTCAGCGTAGGAAATCACTGACCTACTATTTATCTTGAGGTCAGTTAATGAATTAATGCATGTTAAAAAAAGAATGGGACCTAATACAGTACCTTGCGGTACATCAATTTCTATTGTCACTGGGACAGGAATTCATATTCCCTATTTTAACAATCTGAGATCTATTCCTGAGGAAGCTATCAAAAACGTCTAACACGACACCCCTCACTCTATAAGATTGGTATACCTCAAGAAGATATTCATGAGATACCGTGTCGAACGCCTTTGTCAGATCCAGAAAGACAGCCAAGCACTTGTCGCCATTGTCAAGACAGCAAGAAATTTGTTCCGAAAGTTTGCAAATCGCATCTGTGGTACTCAGACCATTAGTAAGGCCAAATTGATGTTCTGATAAAATACTGTTTTGTTGTAAGAAACTCATCAATTGATCCTTGAGACACTTTTTGAATATTTTTGCGAAGATGTTAATAACACTGATAGGGCGATAGTTGCTTATATCTGTCCTGTCTCCAGATTTATGAATGGGGGTAACCACTGCAGTTTTAAAATTGAACTTCAGGGAGCTTCAGCCTATATCCTTCTGATGAGTCCTAACAAGGACGAAACGCGTCAAGGACTGGCACGGGAATGCGGGGTCCACTACTCAGTGGGTCGATTCCCAAACCGGGACTCTTATATCCCTGAATTCACATTGGTCATTACCTGAAAAAAACTTTCTAACAGTTTTAAAATTATTTGGAACTTTAACAGTATGAAACATTAAATTTATTATATGAACCAAGGGTGTAGTTAAGTGCATATGGAAATATTTTGTTATCTTTGAGCTAATTCCATCAATTCCTGGAGCGCATTAGTTTTTAGTGAGTTAATGTGTTCCATTATTTCCAATGAGTCTGTTGGAAACATAGAAGTGTAGTTGATTCAATCATGGTCGGGGCAGGAATTTTTCGACACATTTTTTTAATTGTTGGTCTGGTATAATGTTAAAACTGTATCCTCTGTAAATTTCTTAGGTCATAGAACATCTACATGAAATAGGCTTTCTGAATTTCAAATGCTTGTAAAAATCCTTCATTTCATTTTTGAATTATAACATTATAATGATTTCATTACCAAAATTTGATGTTTATTAGTGCAGTGGTTTGAAAATAGGGCAAATAATTGAACAAACCAGACTTAATGTTGACCAGTTTAATCTGGATACAGCTCAACAACATCATAAAATAACTTCAAAGTGCCGTTCATCAAATTAATGTCTGTATTAAGACTTTTAAGATAGATAAAAACATCAATTCAGAGATATGAGCTGCTCACAAACTAACCATTTAAGTTAGAATCTTACCTCCCTCATTACCCCTGCCAAGACACCTGTGTTTTCGACTGAGATATCTAAGTTGTGACAAATTTGACATTTCATCAACATGATCAGCTTATTAGAAGTGCGCATATGATCAAACAACTTAGCTCAGCTAAGAAACTAACATTAACTTAGGTAAGAAAAGTGCTTGTTATAAGCAGCTACTGACTTACAACAGAACTGACATGGCTATTAATCCATATAAAATTAGAGTCGCACTGATACCACTACAAGAGTTCGTTGTTTGTTGGTTAGAATAGTTTTCTCCTGAATGGATCCCTGATTGTACATATTTCATACAAAATAAAGGCACATAGGCAAGAATAAAGGTGCTAAATATAACTATCAGGCCAGTGGTTGACTGCATTGTTGTAACAAGCATATAACCTCCACATAATGCTGTTAACCAGTGAAATAAAATTTCTGGAAGACCTAAAATGAAAATGATAACTTATTGGAAGTAAAAAGAGTAAATTCTTAACATACCAAATGATGCTAGTAGGCCAAATATTACATTAAGTACAAAAGGCTTGTGAATAGAATGGTATAAACTACTATATGATTCTATTACACAATTTTCCCAAACATCATAAAATGTTTCTTGAAAATATTCCAGTTCCAGTTCATTTTTATAACCTATAGACCTATAAATAATAAAATATTGTTTTATGGACGTTATGGTATGGTGGTTGGTGGTTTTATAATAATTATATTTAACTTACTCTTTGGATTGGTAAATATCAGGTAATGCATCCATTTCCTCTTTATTATTGCAGTTACAGTAGTAAAAAAAAAAGAGATATTAGAAACAAGTTTATGTTTATTTCATTTTAGATTTTCTGTTTTTACTTAGAAAAGCCTACAAATTTTGTGTTTTGATGTGGTTTCGTTGTGATTTGGATGGATATTTTTATTTTTAGGGTTTTGGTAATAGCCACAGTCACATTTTGTATTGTCACATGCACATGGATAATTGAAATTGGTCGCATAGCAACCCAAAACTTCAATTTTATAGCGTTTCCCATTGGCCAGACCAGTGCTGCACTCAGGTTGCACTGACACTCAACCAGATCAGTCAAAAATATGCATTATATTTTTTTGCGGTGGCCGGTGTGTTCTGATTTTGAGGGTTAAGGTAAGTTTTCTTTTTATATTTTGGTACTTTTATTTCATGATTTACCGTGTACTTGTTGTTCATTTAGAATGGAACAAGTTTTCGAAGTAGATTTTCGAATAAACAACGAAAACGAAATAGTAACGTCCATTCCAGTTTCGCCCGATAGTTTTTTTTTAGTAAATATGTGAATTTTCTCACGTGACATGTTTTTTTTGGTATAATTTTTTTTGAAACGGGATTGGTACCATGGTACCTAAATATAATATTCCTATGGCTGTTTTCTGTTTTCTCTAAATAACAAAATGTTAAAATTAATTGATTGCCGAATGTGATGTTTTGCGTTTTCTCGCGCTCCTTCAAAATAGCGATTGTTGATTGCGCAGCGCATCTCGGGTGTTTGGTGTTTTTCTTCGTCCGATGATTTTAGAACGCACGGCCAGGGTGATGGCCGAATGAATTTATGAACGATAACATATGACGTGATTTCATTAAAGGTCTGTTTCTGCAGAAATCTCAAACCAGTCAGAGCGAATTTCATTGGTTGAAAACAGTCAGAAACACTCAGAAAACTAGTTTCAACCAATGAAATTCGCTCTGACTTGTGCACGTCAAAATATCTCGGAAAAAGAAATTTTTCCTATGTTATGCATCTTGTCATCCATTATTTGTTTCTACCTGTAAATAGTTCTTTTCTATATTTTTACCTCTCGCATCTTAATGCATTTATTTTTTAAAATAATTTAGGTTGTATACTAGTCCGCAGGGGCGAGTTCAGGGGTCGTATTTTCGAATTCATTCGAGTACCTACGTTTCCTACACGAAATTTGATTGACAGCAATGTAAATTGAATGGGGAGCATTCGAAATCGTATCATATTTCGTATGCGAGAATATTCGAAAATACGACCCCAGGAATGACACATCCAGTGTGAGTGTGACACCGGTGCGACGCCCTAGCTGTTCAAAAATGCTAGACGGTGCTATGGGCCCAATGGCCAATTGTCAATTCAGGCACACCCATAAAATTGCACTCGCACCCTGTGCGTTATTTCTGAACTCGGCCCAGCACGGTAGATGAAGGGCGACGTCTCACTCAAACTCACTAAGGGCGGGTATTATAAAACTACTTTGAGAGTTAACTTAAAGTTAACTTCTAGAATTACATGTTATTCAATAAGTTAACTTCAAGTTAACTGTCAAATCAGTTTTATAATACCCGCCCTAAAACGATCGAGAAATACTAAATAGCTTGTTGACTAGACAAAGACAACAGATGATGCTACGAAGTTGTATTTGTTCACGTCCAGGGCAGGGCGCGGGCGGCTTGCAATCTTTCACCTTTTATGCGGCGGACTATTATTTCCTCTGCCAATTCTTCCATATTTAAATGCACTGACCAGCCGCAACATTTCTAGAGGGTAAGCACATAGTGGAGCGACGAGCAAAGTAGTGAGCAGTGCGGAGAGCAAATCAGCAAAAACTAACACACGAGATTAATTGTTTGACACATAGTGAAAGTGAAGAGCAGTGAGGAGATTTAGCAGCGCTGTTAATATCGAGCAAAGCGATGTGTTCAAGCAAGTTTGATTTTTCTACTTTGCTCGTTTGTCTCTGTATTGTAAAAATGGACGTTGAACAATTAATAAGTGGTATTTTGGTTAAAAATCCATTGTGGGACCAAAAAGATCCTTAACATCATACATACTAGATAAGTTGTGGGATGATGTAGCAGGAGAAATGAAGTCAACAAGTAAGTGAAAAATGTATTTATTATTAATTGATTGCTACTGATGGACCAATTGGATTTACCTATGTTGAGGTTAGTCCATTTTTTTACCAATCTTTGTTCTATTTTCTCCAAAATGTAATCAAAAGTTTTAATATTCATTCGAAAATAAGAGTGAAATTTTTCTGGATGTGGCCGTAATTCCTCATATAAATGGTGATATTCGCCTATCGAAGTCTGCTTCTGTTTATATGGTGTGCACTACATCTTCTTTTTTTCTTTCTACTGTGTCTTCTCATTAAATACCAAATGTTTAAAGACGACGCCGACGTTTCAGTTGAAACCAAATTATTAATTTTTATATTTTTCACTCGAGTATTAACTCGCCACTATGTGCATACAATTCTTTCATCTACTCTCTGCTCAATTGACGCTCTGCTTTCCTCGCTATCCGCTGCTCTGCTCACCGCTCCACTATGTGCTTAGTAGGCCTTTAGGCCTAGGCCTTAAGAGCTCATGTCGATAAAACTGCACTCGGAGCAAAAACCGTTGTCCTGATTTTCGAATAGATAACAAAAACATACACTGGTTTCAGCAATGGAATGGAAATTGTTGGCCGTTTTTCTAATACCAAATACTATCTTTCTTTATATATAAATCTCGGCGGCCAATGGCAAGTGGCAAGCAATGAACTTGCGCCATAAATTTAATTCAAACTAACGCGACATTTTTCATCAAAAACTGTTTTTTGTGTATTTTGTAGTGTTTTAAGATGATTTTCTTGTGATTGGAAGGATAATTTTCGTATTTTAAGATGGAGAGTTTTTAATTTAAGAAGTTTTTAGTGGAAAACGCAGATGTTTGCAAAAGTTATGATCTCTTTGTGATAAACCTTTACCGACTAAACAATTAGGTAGGTACCTATATACCATCCAGAATCCAGGATTTGTTTCATGTTTAGTTTTTTCTCAACCAAATCCTGAAGTTTATTTTTTTTTGTTGGTTTTTTAATATGGATTTCGTCAGATTTTCTCTCTTTTGCTCAAATCGTTTTTCTCCGTTAAAAACCTGTGTTTCGCAATAAAACGTATAGTGTATATGGCATTGGCCTCCATTTTGAATTTCTTTTTGACAGGTCGTTGGATTGCCACTATATCCAAACGGCGTAGGAAATCTAAATTATTAGAGGTTAGAAGAACTATGGAATTTATAACATAATTTGTTAATATAGATACCATCTCAAGAAAAAATTTGCACCTTGCACCAGTGCATGAACCAAATATAATTTTCCATAGTGTGGGTGCTAACTGCTACACCGTGACCCTTTTGTGCCCACGAAATTCGCTATTGTTTTTGAAATGTTGATAAACAAATCAAAACAAAAGTGCAAAATATAAAATATGAACATACGTTCGCCGTTCGAAATCCTAGAACAAGCTAGCATCTGTTGCTGAGTAGACACTTTCTTCTCTCCTGTATTTAGTTCAAAATTGAAAGTTCTCTAAAGTCTGGCAAATATAAATTTGCCGATGGAAAGAATGCGAACAAAACTGATTGAAATCCATAAATCCATTATGGCTACCTTCGAAACAAGGGGCCCGATTACGCAAGGATGATACACACCTGCAGCCTGCAGGATTGCTTATCGGCCTCGTTTTTGGTAATCGCCGCCATATTGGTGTGTCACCGATTCTGACGTCATAACTAATAGCGTATTTCATTGGTAGAGCAAGTGCAAAACTGGTGCAATATTCGTGATCCATTGGCAGGGTCCACGCTGCACTTTTGTATTTCATTGGGAAAGCTATGCACAGAGTTTTGCACTGCTGTTGGTGCTCCACCGGCTAAAAAGCTCGTGTCGCACTCAGTGCAGTTGTTTATCGATATTTTTGAAATTGAGGTTATTGGTGATTGATGGTTTTTCATGAAAAAACAGTCTCAAATGTTATTTTTTTATTGTGTTTTTTATATTTGTCTGCGAATCTGCTACCAAAAAGAGAAGAACTTTTTTTTAAATTAAATTATAATAAACTATCTATAGTTGTATTCCTTTCAAGAGTTTGAAACACTCGAGCTACTCGCTCCGGTGTTTAGTAGCCCCCGATTTGCAGGGAACAGATGCGTGATGCAACAAATACTTTTCGAAAGGAATAAGGGCGTGAAGCCCCGGAGCTGTTCCGGAGCTCCTCCTAGGTGTGAAAGGAATACAACTTATAATAAGCACAAATATCATTTTTTTAATGAAATTCCATATTCGAGGTTTGACGTATATGGGATGGAGCAGTACGATGATGTTTCATTGGGACTGCCCGCGTGCAGTTTTTTCAAAGTGTCAGTGCAAAACGAGTGCACTTGCTCTACCAATGAAAAGTCGTCAGCTGTTTAAACAGCCTAAGTCAAGGCGGGCAACATGTATTTAGCCGACCAAAGCTGTTTTCTCGCGGTGGAACTGGTTCGATCCGATTCAATTAGGTTTGAACCTGTACTTTCTTGCGTTGAACCAGTGACGTCACATTAAACCTTGGTTTCGAAAGTTCGAACCGGTCTCATGGCTTGTTCTCTGTTGACATGAGACTGTGGTTCAAACCTTCCATTTTTTCGCGTTCATAAGTGATGACGTCATCTATAAATTGGTTTAAACCGCAGTGCGAACAATTCGCCCCGCGAGAAAACGCCTCAGATGTTTTTTTTTTTTCAATATTCGCCAAATTCAATCGTTTGGTGGTCCTTTGGTGGTCTTTGATATCTCACTTTTATCATTTATTAATTTTATTGAACAATTTATAGTCGAATTACGGAAATCGTTTGGTGGTCACGAATTTACCAAATTTTACGTCTGGTGGTCAATTATACCGGAGATATCAACTAATTAGGATTTACGTTATACGATGTAACGATAATGCGTCGCGCATGAGCCGATATATATATATTTTTTTCAATGAGCTGCTTCAATCGCGACGTTGCGGAACTGGCGCGCCGTCTCGCGGACTCCGCTTGTACTGGATTCGGATTGCCGTTAAGAGCCGCCTTCCAGTCCATTGACGAATTTTAAGGTGCTCCACACCCGCAGCTTCACACTCTGGTGTTCCAAACA